ATCTTGCAGCATGTGGTAGAATTTCATTCCCTTCTAAGGCTAAATAATATTCCATTGTATGGATATCCCGCCTTTTGCTTATCCACTCATCTGTTGATGGACATTTTGGATTGTTTCCACCTATTGACATCTGTGAATAAAGCTGCTATGAATATTAGTGGGAAAGTATCTGTTTGTGGACTCTGTTTTTGTTCATCATCCATCTCAGCTACCACAAGAGGAATTAAAGTTAGATTTAAGAAGGACTTCCTGGTTTCCTACTACCAGTGACCAACGCAGCAGCATCTCTCTCTCTGGATAGTTTTGATAACCAGACTTTCCTCTGCCTCCTTTAATCCCACCCCTAAATTGAGATAAAGGTTGGAATGGCTGCACTGAAATAGGAAAGAGGCTTTATAGGGGTCGCTCTGGGGTCATGGTTCTGTATGGTTTATTTTTATGAACTGGGTGGTGGGGGGTTTCTGGTCTTCTCTTGGGTATGTTTGCCATCATTACCTACCCCAAACCTAACTTTCTCCTTTTCCTGGCAACATCCAGGCTGTCTCCCTTTTTCTCTCCCAGGCTAAATTGGGAGTGTGAAGCTGCTCTTCCTCCCAATTTAGCTTTTGAATTAAAGTGAGAACTGAATGTGGCTGGGAAGCTGACTCCCATCTGTGTGTGTGTTAGAGAGAAAAGGAGAGCAAGTGAGCCCGAGCACACGCCGGGGCAGAGGGAGGGGCTGATCTGGGCAGCAGCTGCACCATCCTCAGGAGCAGGCAAACAACTCGGCAAAGGGATGCTGAGGTTTGAAGGTTGGTGTTTTTCCAGGAGCGCTGCAGGGATATCATTCAAACATCCCACAAAAATGTGCTGAATGTTTACTGTATGCCAGGCTCTGTACTAGACGCTGGGAAAATAGTGGGGAACCAGGTAGACCCATCACCTACTACACAGCTTTCAGTGTGGCAGGAAAACAGGCAATGACCAAAGAGGGTGATGTATGCTGTCAGGGAGGAAGAGCAGGATGCCACAGGGGCCTGGAGAGAGTGGGGTGGTCGAGTGTCATCTAAACTGAGACTAGAAGCACACACAGGAGTTGACCAAGTTGAAGCAGGAGAACAAGAGTGCTTGGGCAGAAGGCACTGTGCATGTAAAGATTTGAGTGGGCCAGGTTTCTGCAAAGGGTGCTGGCCCTGAGTGAGTTGGGCTCAAGAAGGTTCAGAAGTGTACACTTCCTCCTCCTTCTCTCTCCTCCCTCCCTTCTAGGGAAAAGAAAACCAGATGAGAGTGACCTAGTCCAGAGAAGTCTGGGAGCACCAAGTCCCTTCTGCTCAGGCTCTAAATAGTCGAGGTGGGGGCGGGGAGGTTGCAGGTCTCCTTTTGAGTTCCACTCAGAAAGCTGGACCTGGCAGGTCCAAGATGGATATGGAACCAAGGAAATGGGATCTCAATTGCATCACAGGAGGCACTGGTATCAAGAAGGGTCTCTGCTTGGTTTAGCTTACCCCTTCCTTCCCTGGGGGCTGGTTGAGTCAGTCTCTGGGGGACCTTTCCTCTTCTTACTTGATAGGAGTGAATCATGATTCTGGCTGAGATGGGAACAGGTCGAAATCTTGGCAAAGAAAGACTTTCTGTTGGCAGAGACAGAGAAGAGCTCTCTGGGGGCCATCTATTTCTCTGTCAGCTCTTGAGTTCCCCAATGACAGGCACAGCTAAGTGATCCTGGTGTAAAACTCGTCATCAATATTTCAGGCAGCATTATTTATTGATCACTCATCTGGCTGGGACAAAAGGAAAGGGTAATTCATTAGGGATGCAAGGCTGGTGGGGTCAGTTTGGGAAAGAGGTCAGGAAAAGGTAGAACACTGAGGATCCCTAGCCTCGGATCCTGCAAAAGTACCTTGGGATTCCAGGGTTTGGAAACCAGGGTCTTCATCTTCTTTAAAAATTTTTTTTTTTTCTTTATTGATTTTAGAGAGAGAGGAAGGGAGAGGGAGCGATAGAAACATCAATGACAGAGAACATTGATTGGCCACCTCCTGCACACCCCACTTGGGATCAGGCCCACAACCTGGGCATGTGTCCTCACCAGGAATCAAACTGGTGACCTCTTGGTGCATGGGTTGATGCTCAAACACTGAGCCACATCTTGTTTTTTAACCCCTTGTTACCCCAGATGAGAATAAGTGAAGGGGGCAGGGGACAGGGAAACCTGGAGCAGGCCTGGGACTACCATTGTGGCCATCAGGGAGAGCATGTCTATGAAATCCATCCTGCAGCTAGGTGAGCTTACTTTTGTCTGGGCCCAATCTGCACCTCAAAGTTCCCTACTCCTTGCCATCTCTTGGGTCCCTCTCCTCACCTGACCCTGAAATCAGCTCCAGTAACCTCTCTAGATGCCATTTCAGAAGCCCAGGCTGGGTCCCTTGGGCTGCAGGGCCCTTCCTGGGTCAGCCTGTCAATTTCCCTGCTCCCAGGAGGTGCTTGATCCTCACCCAAAGGGAATATCTGCCCTCTGGTCTGACCTCCTGTGGGAAGTAGGCATGGGGTGTGCACACAGGCCGGGCTTAGGAAGTGATTGCTTGAAAATCCATAGCTGTTGTCTACTAGCAAGAATGCTTTCTTCATGAACCTCCAACTCCAGGGAGTGAGGCATGAGGCACCCTGCTCACCACATTTTAAGCAGAGGAGCGGCAAGAAAAATTGTCCTCTGCAGGCGCCAGGGAATCCCACATTAGGATGGAGCTGCGCCACCTAGTGGGCCTTTCCCTCCTTGCAGGCATCCCTCTCAGCATAGCTGCCTCCAGCCTAGATGTAGGACAAACTCCCAAAGAGCTCTAAGACTTGAGGTGCCCTCTTCCTGCAGGCAGGCCTGACTCAGCTAGAACTCAGCCCCCATTCTAAAGCTAATGATCCCTCAGTGCCCACTGGGGATCCAGGCAGTGACTGAGCACCCTCCACATAGCTCTAGCCACACACCTCTGTTGTGATCTCTCATCCCACTCTCCTGGCCCAGAGGGATCTAATGAGACAAAAGGGAGAGGGTAGGTGGTCCCAGGGAATGAGATAACAAGGGCTCGCCTAGACCCAGATGTATTTCACCCACCTCCTCCCAGGACACCTCCCACCCAATCTTTTTGTCACCTTCCATTTCTCTTCTCCTCCCCTGCACCACAGTGGCCAGGCCTTGTGCCAAATTCTAGGAGAATGACTGTTTCCATGGCAACAGACCAATGAGCTTAGAAATCTGAGTATATTCCTGTTGACACAGGGAAACCCAGATGTGCATGGAGAGCCTGGCAATGCAGAATCTGGCAGTGACCTCCTTAGCGACTGGTCACTCTGGGTACGTGTGTGTGTGTGTGTGTGTGTGTGTGTGTGTGTAATTCAGCAAATGGGATTTAGGTTAGAGAGGGCCTACCCTGGTTACCTGGCCTTATGGCTGGTAGCTGCTAGCATGAGACTGTAGCATCTTACTCTCTGGAGATCTCTCTAGAATATGGGAGTGTCCCCTGAATTCTGCTCTGACACTTCCTCTTCCTTCTGATAGAGAAAGGGGCCCATTTGCTCAGAGGTCAGTGGTGAATGGCGTGACCTTGGGAAGGCTGTTGACTGGAGGATTCCAGGGAAGATGAAAAAGGCTTCTCACACCTCACCCCCACTGCAGCCTCAGTTCTGGACTTCCTTGGCCAGCTTGGCTCAAGTGTAGAGGACATAACACTGTGCTGCCAGGGAAGAGAAAAGCCTGGTGTAGGTACATTTTGCCAATCTTGGGGCCAGAGGCAGGGGCTAGGTCCCCACACTTCCCACCCCAGCCCATGCTCTGCTTCCTCCACTTTCTTTTCACAAGGCTGAGCCGCTTTTTCTCTGCTCCCTTCTGCCTCCCTCTTTCTCTCCCTCTCCATTCTTTTCCTTTATTTCTCTTCTGCTGTTGCGTCTTATCCCCTGCCATCCTTCTCCTTCTCCTGAGTTCTGCCTTCCAGGGCCATCCCAGCCAGTTGTGCCCCTTGGCCCCTGACAGCCTTGGCTCTACCTCCCACGGGCTCAGACCCCATGTTCTGTAGTCTCCTTCCTTCTGTCCTCCAATCTAGCCCAGCAGCTACGGGCTCAACCCCTCCCTTCTGGGGCCACATGGGCTGCTTCTGTGGTCCCAGTCCTTGGGTGCCTGTCTCTGTCTGTTTCCTGGGTCAGACATGAACCTTGCGGCTGGTTCCCATCTCCACCTCTTTTCTCAACCCACCTGTCTCCTTTCAGAGTCTCTGGCTCGCAGCCCCCCTCCCGCCAACATTTTTTAGCCTTTATAGGCGCTATGCCCTGCCCAGCAGCTCATCCTCTTTTGGGGAGACCTCATTGGGGTCTTTGTCCCCATGACTTACACCTGACACTTTTCATGAGGTACCAGAAAGTCCATTTGGGGAGAAGGGTCTTAGGATTCTGAGGAACAAGGCAACCCTAGAGGGTTGAGGCCCCTACCACTTCTTTTTTTTAAAGCATAGGTGGCATTCTTTTATTATTATTATTACTATTATTATTATGTTTTTATTGATTTTCAGAGAGAGGGAAAGGGAGAGATTGAAATATTGATCAGCTGCCTTCTGCATGCTCCCCATTGGGTATTGGGCCCACAACCCATGGATGTGCCCTGACTGGGAATCCAACCTGGCACCTCCTGGTACATGGGCCATCGTTCATCCAACTGAGCCACACCAGGTGGGCCCCTAACCTTTCTTAAGTCTTGACCCCTCTTGGTTCCCTATCTTGAACCCCAAACCATTACCCCAGAGCTCCTGGTGTTCTGACCTCTTTCCCCTACTTCCCACAGCTGGGCCCTGCTCCTCACTTCAGGTCCTTCCCCCTGGACTGGGTGGGGCAAGAACAAAGCACAGAGGCTGAAATGAATGAAGTGCCAGTTCAGTTTATTGGCTCATCCAGTGCCACAGGTCCAGTGAGCTTCTACTTTCCACTCAACTGGGAGCCCCTTGGCTCCTAAATCTCCTTTTCTTCTTCATACATTCCTCCTGGCTCTGACTGAGATCACAGCGGAAGCTGGGGCAGCATGTGGAGCAACGGCTGCGCTCTGACGGGGGTCTGCTAACATGGGGCCTAGTCTGCTTGGCACAGGAAGAGGACCCTGGGAGAAAGGAAGATGGGCCTCTGGGTGTGGAGAAAGGGAGCTGGCTCAAGCAAGGGGCCTCTACAGTGGGCCCTGAGGGGTAGAGGAGCCCAGTCCAGGGGCAGGGCAGGAAAGGGAAGAGGCAAAAATAACTGAGGGCAGAAGAGGAGGTGAGAGGCCCCTTGGAGGCCCAGTGCCTCATGGACTGTGATCCTCTGAGGCCCAGAGACTAGGAGGGAGGGCTGAGGGTGGGGGGAGATCACCGCTGGAGGTCAAGTCCTTTACCCCACACATCCTCCTCCCCACACACCCCTGGAACTCCACCTCTTGGTGGGGACATGTAGCACACAGTTCGTCCAATGCCCCCAGCTACAGTTCCAGTCTGGTCATCCTGGTCATCTAAGCACACACTAAGCCCCTGTCCTCCATTCAGAGCTGTGGCCTGGAGCCCCTGCCCAGGTTCCCCGAGGCCTTCCCCACTCCCTCCCTCCCCCAGATGCCTCCAGGCCTGTCTCTGGTCCATCTGGGTTGTGACTGACACTCCCCCTCCATCCCCCACCCAGGGAGAACAGTAGGTGCACATTAGGACCTCAAAGAAGCAGATGGCCATGGTGTTCAGCAAGGCACTGGGTAGGAAAACAGGGCTGGAGCCGGGAGAATGGCAGTTCAGGCTCTGAGGAGCCCCCACCACCTCGGATGGCTCAGTCCTCAGCTCCAGGTCCAGCCTCCACCTTCACCCCCCCGCAGGGCCTCCCTCCTCTTTTCCAAGCCCTTCCAGAAAAGTGGCCATTAGGCAGGCACCAGAAATAACCATCTGAGGGGCCTGGGGCGGAGACACGTGGGCTATGGGCACAGTGTGGAACAGGGGCTCTGCAGCCTGTGGGGGGTCGGGGCCTCAAGCTGAGTCACCCCCGCCTGAGGTCTTCTTCTTGGGCCGGGTCTTCAGCGTCTTGGAAGCCAGTGGCTGTGGGAAGGAGGAAGACGGAGAGTGCTCAGACTGGAGCCACATCCCTTCCCAACTCCCCAAGGTCTGGGTTCTCACCTCAGCTTTGGGCACTTTTTTGATGGATTTAACCCTCTTAGGAGCCTTGTCTCCCACATCATCCTCAGAGGTCTCTGTCCGGGAGTCAGACCTTAAACTCAGGGCAGGGTCATCTCCTGGTTGTAGGGAGAAAAGGAGAACAGGGGTCTGGGTCAGGGGTCTCTCCCACCTGGTCACCTCCTTGCCCTCGCGCCCCCCTGCCCAGCCTGTACCTAGGTCCTCAATGGTGTCCAGGAGGCTGCCGGGGCCAGGTCGGAGGCGGCCATCAGGCCCATGCAGGGGCAGGGTGTCCTCATCCCGGATCAGGGTCAGGTCCTGCATGCTGAAGCTTCGGAGCTTCTCTGACAGCACCCCCTGGCCCTAGGGTCACCACCACGCACCGGGAGAACCGGAGGAAGGGGCGGGGTGGAGATAGAGGTCACCATGGGGCACTGGGAAGCCACTGGGCTCACTGCCTCCCCCACACGTCCTCATCCAGTGCCAAGGCAGCACTGACAGGCTGGGCCATACTTTCCCTTTGGATAGATGAGGAGATTGTGGCTCGGAGAGTGGAAATCACTTAGCTGGAATGTGGTAAAGCCAGGATTGGAAACCTGAGCTGCACAAGCCCCAAACCTTCACAGCCCCGAGGACAGGGTGAAAGCAGAAGGACCTAACTAACCAAGGGGATGAGATGAACACGGTGGGGTCCCCGGAGCTCGGGTCTGCCCCCATCTCACCTTGGCAGCAGCTGTGACCGCGGCATTGGCGGCCAGATTCAGGCCCCTCTTGCCCACCCTCATCATGGTCTCATAGCTCTTGTCTCGGGCCTGTGTGATGTACTCGTCGATCTCCTGAGGGGTCAGAGGGGAAGGAAGAAGAGGTGAGGCCAGGCGCTACCCTGCCCTGCCCTTGTTCACACCTGCTGCAGGCCAGGGCCCTGCAAGATCGCTTCAGGCTCGGGCACCCCCAGGGAGGGCTAGGAAAGTATGTGGCTGCAGGCACTGGGCTGCCTCGGCCTAGGGCGGGCTGGGAAGCAGAGTGGGGGCAAACCTTCTCCTTGTTGGACAATGTTGGGTGCACGAACTTGCGGTAGAGCACGCTGGAGCCCTTGGTGTAAGGGGACAGCAGCCATATCACAAAGGCGATCTTGAGCTCAAAGTAGAAGGGGAACCTGTTGTGGGGACAGAGGCAAGTGGCAGAGCCCGGGGAAGGGAGTCAGGAGGTGTGCTGATCCCCTGCATGACCCTGGCCAGCCCCCCAACACTTAGGGTCCCCATGTGGCTCAGGAGACTGGGCGGCTCAGCTGAGATCCCAATGGGAAGGTGAGAAGTGAGCCCAACGAGTGCTCAGCAGTGGCTCCCTTGCCCTCTTCTCTAGGGAATCCCAGCGCTATCACCCTGACAGAAGACCCCGACTCTGTCCTGGGGTCACCACCACGGTGTCCTCCTTAATCTTCTAGGTCTGTTGTGTTCTCACCTACTTCTTCTCCTCTCTTTCCTCCCATGAAGACAGGGGCTTCTCCAGCTGTGCTCTGGATCCCTTGCTGCCAAGACATGCCCCTTGCTTTTAAGATTATTCTCCATTCCCCACAGTTCCTGCTCTCAGGTCACAAACTCCTTGAGGCATGTCTCCTCCATCCTCACAGAGCCTCCATCCGAGCTCCCTCCTTTGCTCGTGTTAGTCTACACTACATCTATACTCACTGCCCTCAATTTTTCAACCCAATTTCCTTTCTCCGCTAAAACTATTTTTCTCAAAGGCCACAGGTCATTGTACAGCAGGTCTGGGAATAACATTATTTCATTCAATGTCATTTTATTATAATGTTGATGTGTAGGAACTTAGCTGGCTCATGTTCGTTCTCTCTCTCTCTCTCTCTTTCTCATTGTTGTTAATTCTCCCCCAAGGATATTTTTCCATTGATTTTTAGAGAGAATAAAAGGGAGGGAAGGATGGAGAGAGAGAAAGAGAGGGAGTAAGAGAGAAACATTGATGTGAGAGAGACACGTTGATTTGTTGCCTCCCACACACATACTGACTAGGGCCAGGGATCGAACCTGCAACCCAGGTACATGCCCTTGACCAGGAACCAAATCTGTAACCCTTTGGTGCATGGGCTGACACTCTAACCACTGAGCCACACAAGCCAGGGCCTTAACTCTTTAAAACAATTTTTTTCTTTATTGATTTTAGAGAGAGAGGAAGGGAGAGGAGAGAGAGAAACATTGATGAGAGAGAACATTGATTGGCCTCCTGCATGCCCCCTACTGGGGATCAGGCCCACAACTTGGGCATGTGCCCTGACTGGGAATCGAACCATCGACCTCTTGGGGTATGGGGCGACGCTCAACCACTGTGCAACACCGGCCGGGCTTAATTCTTATTTGTATCAATTAGCCTATGGTAAAACTGGTTTCATTATACATCGTGTCGAGTTGCAGATCCTATCGATGACGTTAAGTGAGGGTTACTGTCATCTATAAATGCAATAATCTCTCGTCCTCTACCTCTACCTAAAACTCTCCTCTCTTGATTTCCAGTGTACTGTGTGTGCTATGTTAGTACTCTCTTCCAAGATGCAGTTGTTCATTCAATAAACATTTTGAGCTCCTGCTGTGAATTTACAGATAATTAAGACATTCCCTCCCTGTCCTCATAGTGTTCATATATAATCTAGTAGTGTCTGGAAAATGCCTTTGAAGTACAAGCATCCAATGTGTTTAGGACTAAATCATTTGCAAATAGAGAAACTGAGGCCTAGAGAGCTGTGATCTGCTGAAGGTCACAGGAAGTCTGGTAGAAACAGTACTTTGGCTGTCACCAGAAAGAAATGTGAAGGGTATGTTTGTTCGTAGTCTGTTGATCAAGCCAGGCCTGAAGGGGGAGGGGAGACATCCAGAACCCCATAGAACTGCAGTATCCACCCTGGGTCTCAATATTCTGTTGGGCTGACAGGGTAGAGAAAGCCCTGGACCCCAAGATGCAGGGAGGGCATGCTGGACCTCACCAGGAGAGCACGATATCCGTGAGTGTTTCAGCTGTGGTGAAGAAGGCAAAGACGATCCAGTACATCATCCATTTCACCTGAGGGTACAGAGGGCATCATTGGCTGTGGCCTGAGGGGCCTCTGCCTGCCAACTGTGCTGGGGATTCTGTGGGGAAGGGATACTCAGGACCTCAACTTTGCCTGAGGGTCACACCTAGGCAGGGGGAAAGGAACACACAGGAACCTCTTTGAACTAGGGTCTCATTAGTGCCAAGAGCATCAGTATAAAGTCACCCCATCTATAATGTGACCCACTGACCTCCCCTATTTCTGCCATGTGGGTTGGGTGGGAGCTGAAGGGTCATACACTCACATATTCCTTCACGTTTTTTGTCTTCACGGCTTTGTAGGAAGAATAGGCTGGGTACAGGGTGCCAAAGATGAGCCTAGGGAGGCAGGCATGGTTACTGGGCCCCTTGGCCAAGCACAGTGGCCTCTCCCTCCCAGCTCTGCATCATTCCCTGGGTAGGTAATGGGAGCTAGATTGATGAACTCAAGACTCACAAGATACACAAGCATGGAAGTCCCCGCCAGCTAAGGTGATGTCCCCTCCCCACTCTATTGTTCAGTTTTTCTCCAGCCACTGAGACACAGAAAGACCTAGAGGCTCCATTGTGGTCCCTTCAGCCATGATCCTTGGTTATGTACAAATATATATGGGGAATGGGGGGGGGGGTGTCAGTCACTATCATGAAGGTGTCTTCCTTCTCCAAACACTATGTCCATTCATACCCATCTGCCCTTACCCTCTAAGTCCCTGTCTCACAGCCATGCTGGGTAGGGCCAGGTCTGCAAGAAAACCTGACACTGTCTAACAGGACACTCTACCTGGCAGTCAGAGGCCCCACTGTGGCCCTGAGGAGCAGAGGGTATAGAGGCAGAGGAGGCTCTGTGAGGGGCAAAGATAATGTATTCCTCCAGGTAAACACTCCTAGGACCGTTCTCAGGAGAGGGCCCTGGACTGGAGGCCTTGGCGGAGTGGACCAGGTGGCAAACCCTTAGAGACCACATACAGGTCTCAGGTGAGGGGATAAGAGGGCTATGCCCCTCAGGGAGCTCATCCAGACAAGAGAGAAGCAGCCATTCTGAAGGCCACATGAAAGGAGGCCCCTTAATTCCCTCTGGGGTGCGATGGGAAAGAGGAAGGAAGGAGATTCTGATCCAGAGAAAGCCAGGACACAAGCACATGACATCACTGAATGGGAAGAAGGCAGGGGTTCTGGGGTGTCAGTCCCCCATGGTAGGAGCTGAGGGTTAGAGTCCTGAGATGGGGCAGGGGTTGGCTGAGGCTCATGTAGAGGTCCTTAAAGGCCCAACACTTTGACAATGTGGAGTTCATGGACCCACCTTATAGTGGCAGGATACTTCCCAACTGGCCTGTGGAGATGGGGTGGGGGTGGAATCCTCGAGAACAAAATCTGCGATTGTGGGAGCAGGGTTCCCCCCTGGAGCCTAAGGGAGGTTGCAGTGACATAGCTCCACAATGTGGCTCGCAGCCTGGAATGAAGGCCACCTAACACCCTCCCCTCCCTGGCTTTCACAATCCCAGGCTGAGCACACACATCCTCTCCCCATTACCTCCCACACTTTGTCCCCAAGCATCGCTGTTTCCCCATTCCCAGATGTCACCTCTGGGGGGGGCCTTCAGAGCATGTCCCCTCATCTCCCATCCCCTGATGTCAGTGGAAGAGGGAGGGGGGCCCAGCCCCCTGGGGAGGCCAAGGCTGCCGCTATGGCCCTAAAGGATGGAATAACAGGCCCTGCCTTGCTCCCCACTCTTCCATTAGCTCTATCCCCAGGGAGATGAGGGCCCAGGTCTGAGCAGCTCCTCCAGGTCCTGCTAGGCGGGGGAAGGGACATGCCCGCCTCCCCCATAAATCAATACATGCTGCTTAGCCCCTAGGATGAAGGAAGGCGAAGGAGAAGAGAAATTAAAAATAAAAGGGGTGGGAAGCCAGGCCTGCCAGGTTCCTCACTACTACCCCCAGTTCTGGGTCCCACGTCTCGATGGCTTTGAGGACCCCAAATAAGGACGATGTGTCTTTAGGTGGCGGTGCTGTATGAAGCCCCAAAGTGGTCCATCCCGGGCTTCAATACCCCTCAGCCCCCATCGCCAGCCACCCGCCGCAGCACTCACACCACCAGGCGAGAGATGATCCAGGACACCATGGCGGGGCGCGGGGCGGGGACCCCACCGGGGCCGAGGATGCAGCTGCCGGAGGTCGAACGGTGGAGACAGCAGGAGCCGCAGCAGCAGCAGCAGCCGCCGCGGGGGCCGCGGAGCAACTAGCCGCCGCTGTTAAAGGGGAGGTCTCTGCCGCAGCGGCGGGCCGTGGGCGGTGGCGGTTCTTAAAGGGGAGGCCGCCGCGCCCCCCGCACCTGCTGTCGCTGGGCATGCGCCTTTGACCCTCAGTGCCAGCCTTCCTCAGATAGTTCATTCACCGTTCTGGGGTTCCCAGCCCTGGTTGAGGTCTTCGGAGGCCCTCACGGTTCCGTCTTGATAATCCAGCCCTTCTCCTACCCTGCCCACATCGGGCTGAAAGGCTTAAACATCCCACGAGAAATAACAGCAATGACTTGAGTGCTGTGTACCAGGCCCTGTGTTAAGGCTGTATATGCATTGTTTTAGTGCATCCTCTAGACTAGCCTCTAAGGCAGAGGTTATAATTATCCTCATCTCAAAGATAAGGAAATGTGAAGCTTACAGAGGTTCAATAGCTGGCCAAGTGTCCCAAAACCACTAAGTCATGCTGCTAAGATATGAACCCAAGCAGTCTACTTTAAATAGGCTACTTCTCCCAACTGCTGACTTGCAAACCCTCCTCTCACCATCATAGGCCCAGTAAGGACACCTACCTACCCAAGAACTCCTGAAGTCTGAGTATAGGTATAGCTAGCTACACCTGTCCACCCCACCTCTTCTCAGCCATCACCAATCACTCCAGTTGGAAGAAAACTCTCCAATCTGACCTGCTTTGTAGGGTTGTCGTTTTCTAAGGTTCTGCAGGGGAGCCCTGTGCTCTCAAGGTAAATACCATGGGGAGGGTAGTCAGAGGTTTTTCGAAGGCCTGGGGTCTAGGTTGGAGCTGGATTCAAGGGCTCCAGTCCCACCACCATCAGCAAGTGCTGGTGGCAGTGTATGCCCTAATTCTGAAGACATTTATATCCAGAATGTAGGCTAACTCTAGCCTGCTTCCTGATTTTCACCAAAGCAACAAAGCTCCAACCTCCACAACTCCTTCTCCACACTGCTTTGCTTTCCCATGTCAAAGCTTCTGAATTTGTCTAACCCTTATGTAGAGGTGTAATCCTTCTGGTGATCACAGCATCAACCCGTGCTCATCCAGGCTTGAGAGGACATGCTCAGAGCTCTGTACTTCAGTTAATCGTCCTATTCAAACTAAGTATCTCTGAACTACACAACAATTTATTTCCACCCTGATGATTGTATTTCCAGGTTTAAACACTTTGGAAGATGTTTTCCAACAGGCTCCAGAGAAGTGGCCTCTAATGACCCCTCTTGCTATTCTTTACAACTTCCTCTTCAAAAGGCCTTTTCTAATTAGAGTTTAGTCTGTCCTAACACTTCAAGCCACTTTCATTGTTGCCTGATAAAAATAAATCCCATCTGAGTCTTCCTCCCACCATCTCCAAGGTGAATCCAGAGTCACATGTTTCATATATGGGCAGCTAGGCCTCCTGCTTCGAGGAACCCCACCACTGATTGCCCAAAACCTTGCTCAGGCCATCTGCCATGAGCCTTTGCCCCCAGAATGCCACAGGAAGGTAGGACCCACCTTTCCCACTCCATTCACTGGGCATAAACTATGGGAAACCCATCTCTCCTCCCATCTTCTAACTTATGTGGCTCCTTTCCCCTCACCCTCAAGCTCTCAAACCACAATGACCTGGCACTTCCCTCTCCCAATTGGGAACAAATTCAGAAGCAAAGGGTAATAATCATATACAGCAAAGTAATGAAGACCTGCAAATGAACCATCCTCCATTTCCAACCCCACCCTCCACCTGGCCTTGATTTTTAGAATGGCTGGCACAAGAATTTAGTTCACTCCAAACAGATTTGTTAGATTTTTAATAAGAACATGGAAATCCCAATCAGCCCTTCAACAAAATTAAAATACAGAAAGTGAAATTAAAAGTATTCTACAGTAAATGACTTTTATTAAAAAAAAAAAAAAAAGTAACTGTGAACATATAAACAAGCCTGCAGGGCACTACAGTACAGCCGGAAGGAGGATAGATACATTCTCCAATGTACCCACGGGTCAATGAATTCCATTATTTTCAAATAAATTCTTAATAAAACTCCACTGAGTTGGAAAGTTTTACTGAAAATATTTCTGGACAAAACCCCCAAAAAACAAAAAGCCTCATGTAGGAAAATCAAACTTTCCTTTGCATTTGGAACTGTTAAGAGGAGCCCCAAGGGAACGCTGGTAATAGGTGGAAATGGTTCCTGGAGTCACCAGTGTGTACGTGTGGAACACACCACAGCTCAGACACGACAAAGTTCTTTCTCAGATGGCTGTTCCCTAAAGATAGGACTGAGATAGGAGGGGGAGAAACTAAAAGAACCCTAAAAAGCCAATTCTTTTAAATTCTGCTTTGGCTGATTTTGTGCTATAATGGGCAGTTGATTTCTAAAAATCATATTTCTTCAAATAGTTTTATTGAAAGGAAGACTAAATGTAATGTGCCTTTCCTCATAATCCAGGAAAACAATTGTGGTATTTCAAAAATTCTAAAAATATCTACTTTCATGAAATAGTAACTATTTCACTACAAACCTATTTTTCACTAAATACACACATTTCCTAATCCTGGAGCCTCCTGGGAAAAGCAGTGGGTTCTCCCCGGGTTCTGCAAGACTCCAGTGTTCGAGGGAGAGATTGTGGGGAATGGCTTCACCCTGTCTCCCGGGATGGGCTGTGTCATGCGCAGAGACACTGTCAGGCTTCCACCAGGCATGTTTAAGCAATGAGCCCCTACTTGTACCAGTTATGTGATTCCCCATACCTCTCCAAACATTCCCAATTAACTAGGCACAAGAGAAAAAGAAAAGAAAGGTGTGCCCACATTCCTGGTTTCCACAAATTCCAGATCACAAGACTAGGAAAGCCCCTCAATGTTCAGGCAATTCAGAGTCCGAAAAGGCCACAGAATGGGAATGTGGCACCCTCGGCGTGGGGTCTGAAACAGTGTGTGAACAGTGCGACTTTCCTGTGTCAACCTTCAGTCTTGAGGCAGCATAGAAAAGAGTGGCTGGAGAGTTTGTAATACTGACCACACTGGCTCTGAGTGAAGCGCCTCTGCTCCAGCAGAGAAGCCTGCGTTCCCTGTATGAGTGAGTGAAAGACCTGCTTCACAGGGCAGTTCGGAATTTCTCCCGCCTAAGACCTTGCCAGTTTGGATTCATGAGCCTTGAGGGTGCCAACAGCATCTTTCACTGCGTGATAAATGATGTTCTTCACCTGGAGAGAGCAAACAGCACAGTCAGTTCATGGCAGTCCCATGCTGTTTTCTGCAAATGAAAATGTATGTTCTGCCCTAGCTGGTGTGGCTAGTGGTTACAGCGTTGGCCTGGCACCAAAGGGTCTCAGGTTCAACCAGTTAAGGGCACATACCTGGGTTGCAGGTTTGATCCCTGGCCCCAGTCGGGGCATGTGTGGGAGGTAACCAATTAATGCATCTCTCTCACATCGATGTTTCTCTCACTCTCTCCCTAAAAATCCACATGAAAAATATCCTTGGATTAAGATTAACCAAAAAATGAAAATGTATGTTCTATGCTACCTAAGCCCACTGTTAAGTGAGGAAATCCCTTAACCAGGACTGCGTGTTTCCCAAATCAATCCCATAGATAATTTACAAGTCACATAGGATATAAGGTCTATATTCAAAAAAGAACAATGAAATCATTTGAAAGGCTATATAATCACCACCATCTATGTACTTACTATGTGTTGGGCACTATTGCTAAGCTCTTTATACAGACTTTCATTTCTTTCTTATCATAATCCCATGAGGTGGATTTTATTATTATTCCTCATTTTACAGATAAGAAACTGAGGAAATCAAGGTTCCATGGTTAAGAACCTTGCCTAAGGTCCTGCAGTAAATAAGAATGCACTCAAACAAAGTGGGTAGGTAAAATTATTGGGTATTTTTTCCTTTTGTGTTTATATGTATTTTCTAATTTGTCTAAAAGGAACACTTATGTGTGAAGTAGGAAGATACAGTAAAAGTTATTAAAAGAAAGTGAGTAGCCTAAAGACAGTTTTAAATCAAGATAATGACTATTTCTGGGGAAGGAAAGTGGGGAGATTGAATGAGAAGGGTACATGGAGACTTCAACAATGTTTATTTTGTATATGTGTATGTATATATATGATGTTTTCTTTCTCTCTTTTGGTTAATCCTCACCAGAGGATATTTTCCCATTGATTTTTAGAGAGGAAGGGAGAGGGAGAGAGAGAGAGAGAGTGAGAGAAAAATTGATGTGAGATAGACACATCAATTGGTTGCCTCCTGCACAACCCTGACTAGGGCTCAGGATTGAACCTGCAACTCAGGTATGTACCCTTGACTGGAATTGAACCTGAGACCCTTCAGTCCATGGGCCGATGCTCTAACCATTGAGCAAAACTAGCCAGGGCATATTTTATTTCTTAAGCTGTGTGATGGGCACACAAGTCCTCTTGTGCTACTGTCCACTAAATTTTCTATATTAATTCAACAAATACTGAGTACCTACTTACTATAAACCCAATATTGTGCTAGGGTAAAATAGTGAATAAAAGGGTAAAATCCCTGCCTTCTTAGAGTTTATTTATTTTCACAGAGTCTAAATAGCTTACATTCTAGTCGGGATAGAAACCAACAGATAAAATTTAAAAAAATATATCACAGAAGCCCAGGCCGATTTGGCTCAGCAGTTAATAGCGTTGGTCCATGGACTAAAGAGTCGAGGGTTCGATTCAGGTCAAGGGCACGTATCTTGGTTGTGGTTCGTCCCTGGCCCTTGTCGGGTCATGCAGGAGGCAACCAATTGATGTGTCCCTCTCATGTTGATGTCTCTGTCTCTCTCTCCCTCCCACTCTATCTGAAGATAAAGGGAAAAGTATCCTTGGGAGAGGATTAAAAAAGAAAAACCCACAGAAAAAAAAGAAAGCACCGACAGAGGATGGGAAGTGCTGGAGGTGACCTGTTAGAAGTAAAGACCTAATGGAAGTGAGGTCTGAAATATGTATGCCTGAATATTTGCACTATGTCTATAATGT